CTGTATGCACTTCTAGCAGGGTTCACCCTTAGTGATCTGCTCTCCTTTGACACATCCAATTTGGCCATGGGCTACCCTGCAAGAAAGAGTCGCTACGGAATAGCCTGCCTCAGCAGACTCCCCCATCCCTGGGTTGCTCCCAGCCTTGTAACCGTTTCATGAAAGCAAACCTTTCAAAATGAGGAATATAGCATAGGATTTGTCATAGCTAATCAGACAACTCCTCCAGCATCCTGCCTCCAGCTGTGGTCAAGGCCCGCCATCGCCCAAGGTGGGGAAGGACAAAAAGGGGGGAGCCTTGTGCACCTAAGCCAATTCTAAATAGAAAAATAATCCTATCCAACTGTTACTGCCTAGAGCATGAGATCAGAAGTTCCTTATTACCTTGGCTGGCACAGTTTAAAAGGCTGAGTCTGAATCAGCGTGATATAATCCATCCCAAAGACGCTGTTGAAGTTGCAAAGAGTACAGGGGGGACAGCTAATTGAGGACTGAAACTATTGTTAGGGATTACAATATTAGTCAGATTTCTGAAACCCTCCTATCCGGTAGGGATCCTGGAAGCTTGGGAAGGTATTCCCAAACTCCCTTTGACTTCCACACAGCTAGGGATTCAACCACTGCGTTGCATTCCCTTTCTTCAATGATACACAGAGGCACACTGTTTGTTTGTTTTCAAGAAGAGAAAATCATGTTTAGCCACATAGCTAGTTTCTAGAGATCCTAGCTATCAAGCTAAATTTCGGTACCTAGCACCCCAAAAACATTTCAAATTTGTTTCAGCTGCTGCATTCTTAAAGCATTTTAACCATTTCATGCCAAACCACCTTAATTCTCAAAAGCAAGGCAAGCATGCGTAAGAATGTCAAATGGCTTTTGCAGGCTAAAAAAACCCCACGAGGCCCATGGTGCAGTGCGACAACGAGCAAAATACAAGTGCACAAAAGCATTCGTTGCCTATCAGTTTTAAACAAACAGTTGACAATGTTGCAAGATTGTCGTCACAAATAGTTTCCTGAAACAGAAATCGTCTGAGAGATGATTTTAAGCTTTAGCAGGAATCTGCTTCAAGCAGAAACTCGGAGAGATAGCAGAATTCCACCTTAGCGTCCATGTGTACCTTGGGATTTGTGCATGGGCTTATGCATGACCCTTTTCTTCCTTCAATCCCTTCCATCCTTCAACAGGTCCTGATGCCTTCCTTAACAGCTGTTTTAAAAGGGTTGAGCTTTTGCAAGTACCCAGTTTGGACACTACAGGCAAAATCCAACTATTGGCACCAGTAGTCCCAGGTGTTATTGACTAAACAGGCATCAGTTTCCTGATCAGTCCTAGCAGAGGCAGCCGACACCCACAGCCCAGCTGGAGTCACAAATCTGCATAGCTTTTTCTCCTGAGAGTCCCCAGCAGCGCAGCACAGATACCCTCCCCCTTGAGAAAGTTATCTCGTCTTCCTGAAACTTTTCTCTTTCTTTCTCTCAAATCTTCAGATGTTTCACCTGAGGAAAAAACCTCTAAACAACCCTTCACATTTTGCTTTAGGCAAAATCCAGTATCAACCTGTGCAGAAGGAAAATCCTGGGGAAATTTTATTTTTTTTAAACTAGGCTTATCAAAACTCCTTTGGATGTCTCACTCCCCCCCTCCTCTTTCCAGGCAAGAACTTCCAAACTTCTTGACAACTTAAATCAAGTGATCAAAAGAAATTAATATGCATGTAATACACAGAAGAAATTAATATGGATGTAATACCTTGGTTTTCTGTACTGATGATGGTGCAACTAACAACAATTATCTGGGAACTTTGGATGGTAGGTGTTTGCATTCAGCAGATGACGGTTGGAATTTGTACCCTGCACAAAGCAAGCTTTTATCTTCCTTCATAGCAGGCATTCTAGACAAGGAGCTCAGCCATCACTAAACTCAAAAAGACAATTGGAGGAGGTTTCCAGGGGACTTGACAGCTTACTGGATGATGACAACAGCAATAGGAGTCTCAGTGGAGAGCTAGCTTGATCTAATTAGCAACAAAGAATTACAAGTACTCGGGGACAATTGTTTTGTGTTGGGTTTTTTTTTTCATATAAAAAAATAAAAAAATACAACCTTTGAAACTACATAGCCTTTCTGCTACTGGCATATTTGAGAAGTTTATTAGACTTTTGGTCCCCAAGCACTGGGAAGCGAGAGCACGCTTTCAAGATCTCAGGCTTCACAGAACTTCTCTGTACTGAAGTCACCGAAATTCTGTGAAGGTTAAAAGCTCACACGCGCTCCCCTAGTAATCATAAATAAATAGCTGGCTCAACATTCTTTTAGATATATACAGAGAGAGTGAGAACAGGGAAGCTTCCAGTCACCAGAATTGTACCGCAGAGTGAAAAGAGGTTGGACAAAGATGAACCTGCTGTGCATTCCAATACATAGGTTGTGTACACGCTATACATTTAAAGCACATTTTGCTCTGCAAAGAATCCTGGGAGATTGGTTTCTCCCTTAAAGAGGGTGCGTGTTGCGGTGAGACCTGGCAACCAAACCCTGTGCTGTGGGTGGGTTCGTTTGGATAGCCACAACACCCAATTGGTAGGTCTCTTGATGCAGGGTTTAATCAGGCCAATGGGACGCAGGCTAAACGGATCAAGGGACCCATAAATGCACATGACCCATTCGGTGTGTGCATCGGAACACCCGCCCACCTCTCCCTATATTTAGGGTTTGCACGCTTGACCTTGCTATGCCGTCGTGTGTCGTCTGTCGTTGGGACAGGGCCACGGAAGGAATTTTCCCCACTTGGCTGATTGGCTGGTGCTATTTAGGTTTTGCCTGCCACGTAGCAAATTGTCACAACTTGTAAGGTTGCAGATAGGCTCTGGTTCAGGTGATAGGGATGGGGGTATGCTCTCGCCATGCCTGTGTGAAAGGTATTCCGTTAAAGGATTCCAGGGACTCAATGGTTTGGTCAACCCTGTGAGGGGGTTGTGCCTGTGTCTGAGTCCAGGGGGGCATTTGGGTGGCGGAGATAGCCTGTTCCCAGCTTTCCACTTATCCCGGTGTTCACCCTTGGCTGACCTATGCTGGTGCCGTGGGTCAGTGCTACCTGCAACGGTGCAGGGAGCTAATTGAACCAGAGCCTATGCAACCACGCACCTGCTGTAATCAATAAAGTTGTGGCCTAAAGGTAAAGGTAAAGGTACCCCTGCCCGTACGGGCCAGTCTTGACAGACTCTAGGGTTGTGTGCTAATCTCACTCTAGAGGCCGGGAGCCAGCGCTGTCCGCAGACACTTCCGGGTCACGTGGCCAGCGTGACGAAGCTGCTCCGGCGAACCGGCACCAGAGCAGCACACGGAAACGCCGTTTACCTACCGCTATAAAGCGGTACCTATTTATCTACTTGCACTTAGGGGTGCTTTCAAACTGCTAGGTTGGCAGGAGCTGGGACCGAAAGACGGGAGCTCACCCCGCCACAGGGATTCGAACCGCTGACCATGCGATCGGCATGTCCTAGGCGCTGAGGTTTTACCCACAGCGCCACCCGCGTCCCAAAAGTTGTGGCCTAAATTCTGCCAAAAACCAAACCAAAATTTGAGTATTGTCTGAATTTATTTAAGAAGGAGGTTTAAAGGTCTGAACACGCAACTTCAGGCTACCTCACAGAGCTACAGTTCCCAGCACCCTAAACAAGCTACATTTCCATTTTTATTTTTTATTTTTTTAGGGTGTGTGGCTCTTTTTGCTTCACTTCGAGACTGGGTCTGCTGGCTTGAATTTGTGGGAGCTCCAGAGTGGAACTGATGCCCTTGGGGCTTGCATTTGTTGCCAAATTTAAAAGGCGTTGACTACCTACTTTTTGAAGAATGATTGGGGGAACACTTTGAGCCTCCTTTTTGTCCATTTGCAGCCATGCCTTTTCCTGCCCCATCTAATGACAGGTGTGGGGCAAGTGGGTGTGGCATAGGGGGAACAGTCTTACCAGACAAATTATGACCCTCAGATGGCCAACTGCGGCTCAAGGCCTAGAAGTTCCAGATTCTTGATTTGTGCTGGACTTTTGTGAATGAAGCAGGCGCTTCTCCTTTCAAAGGAACCTAAGAAGAGTACTGCTGGATCAGGTGAGCGGCCCATCTAGTCCAGCATCCTAGGACTCAGCTATACAGTTGCAAATAAAATGTTTTAAATGTGTTGCAATGTGCAATGTGTGACACTAGATGGCGACAGTGAGCTATGCCAAATTCAATGCATTTTTCAAAACTTTTTTCTTAAAAAAGCATTTTCACAGCATTTTTTATATGTGTGTAGATTTCACCCTAATTTAACTATGCACTGTGTGAAGAGGTTTTTTATCTGTCCCAAAACTTTCAGCATCCATCTTCATTGGATGTCCACATGTTCTAGTGTTATGAGAGAGGCAGAAAAATGATTCTCTAATTCTATACAATATCACTTTTACTCATCTTTCCTCTAAACTAAAAAGTCCCAAACACTGCAGACTTTCCTCATAGCGAAGTCACTTCCTCCTATTGAAGATCTTGCTTGCCCTTTTCTGAATCTTTTCCAAGGTGACCTGAACCATACACTGTAGCCTAAATGTGGTTGTATCATAGAGTCCTATAATAGCATTATGATACCAGCAGTTTTATTTTCTATTTCTTTCTCAACAATCCCTAAGCATGGACTTTGCTTTTTTCACTGCTGCTGCAGACTGGGTCAACACATTCATTCAGCTATCCACTATGACCCCAAGGTCATGTTGCTAGTCAGTTACTGGCAGTTTTGACCCCATATATGTGAAATAAAAAAAACATTTATTTCCCCATCACTTTTACGCTTGTTTACCTTGTGCAGACCTCACTCAAAGGAACACCAGGTTCTTGACTTACTGCCATGCCAACCCAACTGACCTCTTGTATAAACCAAATGAAATTGTGGTGTGTTTAAAGTGCGGGGGAATTTCCCCTCAGGGTTCAAGTATGGAGGTTCACATCAAACTCCCAATTGGTCAGACTTTATTCAGTAATGCATTACAGGATAGGGTTCAAAGAATCTGTGTTCATTAGGTGTTCTTTATGACACACTATATAGGCAAATAGACCTCATCTCAGGGACACGGGGGGCGTTGTGGTCCAAACCACTGAGCCTCTTGGGCTTGCTGATCAGAAGGTTGGCGGTTCGACTCCCCACTATGAGGTGAGCTCTCGTTGCTCTTTCCCAGCTCCTGCCAACCTAGCAGTTTGAAAACATACCAGTGCAAGTAGATAAATAGGTACCACTGTGGCAGGAAGGTAAACGGCATTTCTGTGTGCTCTGGTTTCCATCACGGTGTTCTGTTGCCCCAGAAGTGGTTTAGTCTTGCTGGCCACATGACCCGGAAAGCTGTCTGTGGGCAAATGCCGGCTCCCTTGGCCTGAAAGCGAGATGAGTGTCACAACCCCATAGTCACCTTTGACTGGACTTAACCTTCCAGGGGTCCTTTACCTTTTACTTTTACATCATCTCAGCTGTTTCATCCTCTTCCCAACCACCTTCTGCCACCCCATCGCCCCACCATCTCTCATCCAATCACAATTCTTGAAAACATTATTCACTCCCCCCTTTTTTTACTGTACATGCAGAGCCTTCCTTGTACAGTGGTACCTCGGGTTAAGTACTTAATTCGTTACAGAGGTCCGTTCTTAACCTGAAACTGTTCTTAACCTGAAGCACCACTTTATCTAATGGGGCCTCCTGCTGCCGCCGCGCCGCCGCCATGCGATTTCTGTTCTCATCCTGAAGCAAAGTTCTTAACCTGAGGTACTATTTCTGGGTTAGCGGAGTCTGTAACCTGAAGCGTATGTAACCTGAAGCGCATGTAACCCGAGGTACCACTGTACCTTATTTGGAGCTGTTTTTCACGTCAACAATCAGCATTAGGTTCCCCCTAAGCTGCTTCTTACCAGTTTTCTGGTCAGGCTGCCCTCTTGCACTGGCGTCACTGATAATGGATCTCAAACAGAAATCCCACGCCAAAAGTCACAGACATGTAGTTGTTGTGCTCCTTCCTGCCACATTCATGAGCCACAACTTGCGAATGCTGCACATCAATAAATTTGCTGGATTGGAGCAGAGGCTCATATAGTTCTGCTTCCTGTTCTTATCGTGGCCTTTGGGGATCCCGCAAGCAGGACGTCAGTGCAACAGCCCTCTCTACTCCCAACAGTTTAAATGTTATTCGCAGTTAATGAGTAGCAGCATATAAACACACACTCACAATCCCCCCCCCCCCAATAAAGTCTTATTTGATTCAACTAATGAAATTTTGGCAGTAAATTGGTCCCCAGTAAGTTTCAGCTGACGTCCAATTTTTTTTTAAAAAAGGGGGAACAGCTGAAATATTAATATTTAAAACTTCAGTGCTGCAATCAACATGTGTAACATTTTCAAAGAGATGGAGAAGTTGTTGTTTTCTTAAAAAATAAATACATCTACGTACAGCTCTTGTCCTAAATACATATTTACATGATAGGTTGGGAATTCCCCCCGCCCCCAGCCTCTGTTCTGATCTCTTGAGCAAAAAAATATGCCTCTCAGAAATTTCCAGTCTATCTATACCTTATCTTCCAAACATGGTTCTATCACCTACATCCACAACAATGTTTTTGCCTTCATTTGTGAGATGCGTAATCTTCCTTATCTCAAAAAGTCATGGTTTTTAGACATACCGTATTTCTCGCCCCATAGGGTGCACCTAGGTTTTTTTTTGGGGGGGGGGAATAAAGAAAAAAAATCATTCCCCCCCCAGGCACGGGGCTGGGGCGGGGGAAGCCCGAGCTTCCCCCAACCCCAGCCCCCAGAGCAGGCTGCTCTCCGCAAGCCGTGGGAGCAGGCTGCTCTCCTTGGAACTGGGATGCCTTGGAACCTGATTGGTTGTGCACAGATACATGTGACCTTACTCGAAGGTCAAAGCTCTGAGGATGGTTGAAGTGTATGAGGACGCCATGGCACAAAACTGCTCTGACCAAAAGCCTAGGTCCCCTCCCCCCCATGTATACTTCTATGTGGTAAATTATTTGGTTTTCACTGTGAATTATTTGGTTTTCACTGTGAATGTGTCTTTGGATCAGATCGCTTTCATGGGTGCCTTCCAAATCTGAGTCTACTATTCTAGAGGAATCTTTTAGGTGGAGAAGGACTCCTTGAATCATCCACGCGTGTTTGGTCCACCTCACGTGCCACGGAGTCAACTTTGGTGGGAGCCCCCACCCATTTGCTCCCTCCTCACCCACACCTATGGCGGGACCGCCGAGGCAAAAGCACGAACAGAGCCTTATCTCAAGCACACCTGCGCGGGAGAAATTGCTGTTGGTTCTGGGCACCTAATTACCAGGAAAATATTGACAAATTGGAATGAGTTCAGAGAAAAAGAAACACAAATGGTCAGGGGACCATGAGGAATTTACATCTGAGGGAAGATAAAAAGAGCTGAATATGCAGCGCTCATTGAGGGGATAATTAAAAGAGGATGCCTTGTGGAGTCCACAGCTACTCCTACCCTTGTGTCAAGGATGGAGAAGAATGATTTAGGGCAGCGTCTTGGAAATACGAAGAGAAGTAATTTGGAAAGAAAGAGGGAGACGTACACTTAAGCAATACCGCTCGAAATGCCCAGGCGCTGAGAATTATATAGGCTGTGAAGCAGCTTTTAGATGGGGGGTGGGAAGAGGGGGAGAAAGTAACCATGCTGCTGTTTTTGATATCAAACTAGACCAATAATATGCCAGAGGGGACCCTTGGGATCGCTGAGTTAAAATCCTGCCACCAAACCAGGAAAGGGATTTGAGCTGGGATGCTTTGAATCTGACGGAGCTAGCCTCTCCCTGGGAAGCGCTCAGCCATCTGGGGGAAGAGATGACATTGATCTCCGGAGATCATACTATTACTTAAGCGCTTAAAAAAAAAAATGCCTTCAGCATGTCCCTACTGCATGTCAGTCATCAAGGTGCGGCTTTTGTGGGGTGGGGAGAGAGAGTTCTTCCTAGTGTCACAGCTGTTTCCTGGACAACTGTCTGGGGTGAGCTATAAGGTAAGGATGTTGGAAGCTGCCTTATGATGAGTACATGCCCTCCAACGTTTCTCTGATGAAAATAGGGACGTCCTATTCCCTAATGACAACAATTTCATTACAGTAATACCTTGGTTCCCGAATGGCTTAGCTGCCGAACAAATGGACTCCCGAATGCCACAAACCCAGAAGTAAATGCTCTGGTTTGCAAACGTTTTTCGGAAGGCGAACGTCCGACGTGGCTTCCGCTTGAGTGCAGGAAGCTCCTGCAGCCAATCAGAAGCTGCGCCTTGGTTTCCGAACGGTTTTGGGAGTCGAGCGGACTCCCAGAATGGATTAAGTTCAAGAACCAAGGTACCACTGTATTTATACCCTGCCCATTTGACTGGGTTGCCCCATCCACTCTGGGCGGCTTCCAGCATATATAAGTACAGTGGTATCTCAGGTTAAGTACTTAATTTGTTCCGGAGGTCTGTTCTTAACCTGAAACTGTTCTTAACCTGAAGCACCACTTTAGCTAATGGGGCCTCCTGCTGCTGCTGCGCTGCCGGAGCACGATTTCTGTTCTCATCCTGAAGCAAAGTTCTTAACCCGAGGTAGTATTTCTTGGGTTAGCGGAGTCTGTAACCTGAAGCGTATGTAACCTGAAGCGTATGTAACCCGAGGTACCGCTGTACATAGTAAAACATGAAACGTTAAAAAACTTCCTTATACAGGGCTGCCTTCAGATGTCTTCTAAAGGTTGTATAGATACTTATCTCCTTGGCTCAGGAGTAACATAACTCCATACCCTCCAACATTTCTCTACTGAAAATAGGGACGCCCTAAGGAAAAGCGGGACATTCCTGGATCAAATCAGAAACCAGGATGGCTTCTGTAAATCCGGGACAGTCCCTGGAAAATAGGGACATTTGGAGGGTCTGTGAGTCAGACCATTGGACCATGTTGCTCAGCATTGTCTACACTGGCTGGCAGCAGCTCTCCAGAATTTCAGGCATAAGTCTTTCCCAACACTACCTGGAGATGCTGCCGATTAAACGGGGTACATTTTGCATGCAAGATGGATGCTCTGCCAGTGAGCTATGGCTCTTCCTGGTCAGTCAGTAGTTAGGTCCAAAGAATAAGTGCACAGAGGAAACTGTGAGACGGGGTCAGGAAGCAAGCTAGTAGTTGGGCTTCTCAAGCAAACAAGGACAAGCCAGGTGACAAGACTGAGGAGCAAGCTAGGAGTGAGGGCTAAACAGCGAGTCAGAACCAGCAAGCAACCCCAAACGTGAGATCAAGGACAATGTCAGAAATCTGGACTGAGGAAGCACCAGAGCTGAGCAAAGTGGGGGGGGGGGGCGCACTGGAGGTGTATATGACTATCAGACCTTGAAAAGCTGGTATCACCAAATAAAGTTCATCAGTTTTGTTGAATTCATTAAACCAAATAGCTTTATAATGGTACCTCGGGTTAAGAACTTCGTTCTGGAGGTCCATTCTTAACCTGAAACTGTTCTTAACTGAGGTACCACTTTAGCTAATGGGGCCTCCCACTCCGCTGTGCAATTTCTGTTTTCATGCTGAGGTAAAGTTCTTAACCCGAGGTACTATTTCTGGGTTAGCGGAGTCTGTAACCTGAAGCGTCTGTAACCCGAGGTACCACTGTAATTAGATTTTGAATAAATGTGTGATTAATTGTTATTTTTTTGAATGTTTTTGTGTTATTTTCTTCCTTAGTGGGTTGTGCAAACTACGATTCTGCATAGCACATTTTATAGGGTAGGGTCGGGGGAACTGGGGATGAGTTTATGAAACCAATGGGGGGGTGGCCTGAAAAAGTTTGGGAACCACTGCTTCAAACCTTTGTTGAGAATTTTGCAGGCCGCCTTCCCCCCCAAAATCTGAAGTCCTACACACACTTCCAGCGATGCTGGCCACCTCCCAAGAGTCCATTCCATTCTGATGGGCATCAGTTGGTATATAATAAAATTATGTGAGCTAACTTGGGGTTGAGACTAAGGGAATTGATGTGCATTAGGGTCTTGCCTTAAGAAAAAGTGTTGGTCTGTATGTCCTTCTGCTCTTTCCTAGCCCTGTGAGACTTCAGATCTGTTCTTCCACTTATGCATGAAATTTCCATGTCGCTTTCTCCCTTAAAGAGCTGTGTTTATAAGCCATAAATAGAAAATGTTGCCGCCAAGGATAGGCAACCTGTGGAACAAACTGTTGCAAGAGGTCATCAAGTCATATGCTGGCGGCTGTGTTTTTTAAAGGGCTGGGTAAACTTTATGGCCAAATAACATCTGTACAATCATTCATGCCAGGATAATGATGATGGAATTTCATGCTTCAGAGTGTAAGATGATTGCCACATGGTTCAGGGAGAAATTTGTCTTCCCGCTTAAAAAGAGAGGAGAAATGAGAAGGTGCCAAAAGAGAGTGTGCACTGATGGAAGGCGATACTTTCCTCTTTAAAACAAAGGTGGGGTTTGGGTGGGGTGCAAGGGTACTTAGCAGAGGGAAGAAATGGCATCCACCCACATCCCTCTAAGGCGAATAGATGGAGAGCATTCTGCACAGTCCATAGGTAAAGGTAAAGGTACCCCTGACCATTAGGTCCAGTCGTGGCCGACTCTGGGGTTGCGGCGCTCATCTCGCTTTATTGGCCGAGGGATCCGGCGTACAGCTTCCGGGTCATGTGGCCACCATGACTAAGCTGCTTCTGGCAAACCAGAGCAGTGCATGGAAATGCCGTTTACCTTCCCGCCGGAGCGGTACCTATTTATCTACTTGCACTTTGACGTCCTTTTGAACTGCTAGGTTGGCAGGAGCAGGGACCGAACAACGGGAGCTCACCCTGTTGTGGGGATTCGAATCGCTGACCTTCTGATCGGCAAGCCCTAGGCTCTGTGGTTTAACCCACAGCGCCACCCACACAGTCCATACTTCACGGTAAAGGCAGATATCTCACTGTAGGATATACTACAGTGATGGCCAATGTGGTGCCCTTACGGAGTTGTTGAATTCCAACTCCTATCAGCCCCACACAGCATGGCCAATAACCAAGGATGGTGGCAGTTGCATTCCAACTTATCCCTTGTGCTAGGCTTTGGGAAGGAAGTG